TATAGTAAACTCCTTAAAGGTTGGTATAGGTAAGACCTTAGATATATCAAGGTGGTCAGAATGGTCAGAAGAGGTAAAGAAAGGTTTAGACTCAAAAAATATGACGTTAGATGATATAAAGTACCTACGAAGATCAAGTGAGTAACAACGATATCCCTTCTGAACACGAGAATAACCAAGGAAGACACACTTGAGAGCACGAGGAGCTAATTTATCTTTCCTAGGGGCTAAGTTATGAACGAAACAAGTGCTCCCAAAAACACAAGGGGGAACAGAGTATAAGGGTGACATGGGAAACAATACTGCATATGGAATCTGATTCTGGATGGGAGAGAAATGCATTCGATTAACCAAATAACAAGCTATGAGAACTGCATCGCCCAAAAAACGCAACGGAACATGAGATTCAATGAGAAATGTGCGAGCAGTCTCAATGATGTGCCTATTCTCTCTCTGCAACCCCATTTTANCCTAAACGTCTGTGAATTAGGTCCGGAGGATTTGTAACTAGACATGCCTTGGAGGAATTGAGTGAGTTAAGGTAGTAAAGGCCTTCTAATTCAAGTTCTGTTCCAATCGTCTGTCCCGTACTGCGGTCCTGCATAATAAAAGAATCATCAATAAAATATATACCACAATGGAGGGCACGAGTCAAACAACTAACAGATGCAAGATTAAAAGGACAGCCAAGGACATAAAGAACAGAATCTAGAGTGACAGAGGGGAGGGGATTCGCTTGTCTAACTCCTTTTGCTTTAGTTTGAGACCCATTGGCTAAAGTAACAGTGGGAAAAGACTGTGACGACGCAATATCTGACAAAAGTGATTTATTACCAGAGATATGGTCAGAAGCGGCTGAGTCCACAACCCATTGTCCAAGAGTACGAGACTAGAAAACACAAGCAAAAGAATTACCAGCAACAGAAGTATCAGTCTGAGCAACAGAGGCTACTTGTGGAGATGTCTGCTTACTTGCTCGATACTGAAGGAACTCATTATACTCCCCTTTAGATAAAGAAAATCCCTGGTTACCTGTAGTCTTGGTCTGAGCAACATAAGCATTTTTGGGTGGACGACCATATAAAGAATAACACACATCACAAGTGTGTCCAAGCTTACGACAATAAGAGCACTTGGGTCTAGATCTTCCAAAACGACCTCCTTCTTGTCTATTCTCCATAGTTTGAGATACCCGATTGTCCACTGACTGGGATACGAGGACAGATGAGTCAAGTGTCTATGATGAGCTCACTGGGTGACTTGGTGTGCAGCAAGGCGAAGTAATCGAGAGAATAATTCATCAACTGTGGGGATAGTCGGACTAGCCAAAATCTGGTCACGTACTGAATCAAGGTCATTAGGGAGTCCAGTGAGTGTAAGAACTAGAAACATCTTCTGTCGTTGCTCTTGTTGCTTTTCAATACTAGCAGAAACTGGCATCAACGTCTCAAATTCTTCCATGACTGCCTGTACTTGTCCCAAGTAAGTACACATAACCAATTCCTGTTTCTTCAAGCTTGTCATTCACGATATTACATCATAGAAACGAGATATGTCATTAGTGTATAAATTACGAGCCTTTTCCCAAACTAAATAACATGTCTGGAATGGATGGAACAAGGGCATCAACTTGGAATCAATAGATCGCCACATGATACTACATAATTGAGCATCGACCTTCTCCCAAAGTGTTTTGGCCTTTTCATCACCTTCGCTAGCCTTTTTTGTTAAATGATCTTGAACTCCTTGATCTTTACACCACAACTCGACAGACGAAGCCCAAGCTAAGTAGTTTGAACTTCCCATTAAAGGTTTTGAGGTAATCTTAACACCGGAACTGCCGGAACCCGGGGTTTTATACCCGAAAACATCGACTCCCAAAGACATCGTTGGATTGAAGTGAGGTCTATAAAATTATCACCAAATAACAGAAAGAATCAATTGAAAACTCGGTGAAACAGATGAAGGAGACACTGTTTTTGCCGGAAAGTTACTGTAGCTGTTGGAAAAAATTAGTGTAGTCGTCGGAAAAACTCAAAGTGGTCAGAATTTGGTTTGAACTAGATGGGTAGGCTCGGAATTATGAGGAGAACAAGCTGTCCTAAAGAAACTTTTTCAAAATCTGACTGGAAGAGGTCACATGCGCCGACGCGTGTGACAGATGCGCCGCTGGAAGCAGATCTCCGACAGGCGCATGGGGGCGCGTGGGTGAGTATTTTCTAGGGGTGTCAATGGTTCGGGTCGGCCGGTTCTTTTATAAAATTTATACCATACTCATATTTCGGTTATTCTATTATGTATAACCAAAATTAAACTTTTTGAAACCGTCCCAATCATGTCGGTTTCTCTTCGGTATCGGTACGGTTCGGTTAATTTTCGATATTTGTTAAATGTCATATAAAGGTCACTAGTAAAAGTAGAATGCAATAACATACATATTTTTATAGGACTTAGAAAAACTCTCCAGAAAGTTTTGCTATTTAAATGGTGATGAATTATGAAAACATGAAAGATGACCAAAGTATAAATTCATCAACTACTCTACCGCTGCGTAAAAGAAACCACGCAAAGACAAAGAAAAGATAAACCACACAAGTAGAAAGATATTAACCTAGTTGGAACTCAAGAATAAAGTATATAGAAGATTAAATATTCAAAAAGATAAATAGAAATCATACGAAAGGAAACATATTCAATACATTGTAGTTTGCTACTCATAATTCGTTAGAATACTTTGTGTCTTGCTAGTGAATATGCTGGAAATAATTTAGTTTCAGTAGGAGTAGCATAATAGGATTGGGAATTAGGATTTTGATCTTAATTACTTGTTGGCTTGTAACCATTTTCATAATTCCAAGACCCAAGGAAAAATTTAGTACTTTATTATTTTTGAACTTAATATATAAATATATTTTTCATATGTAAATTTATTCGGTACGATTCAGTATTTTTTCGGTTTATTTCCATAAAATAAAAAACCTACCCTAATTATCGGTACGATTGTAGATTTATATAAAAGCCTACGGTTTTATTAAAAAAACCTAAAAATCGGTTCGGTGCGGTACGGTTCGGTTAGTTTAGTCGGTTTTTAAATATCCATTGACACCCCTAGTATTTTTCGGTGATTTTTTCTGGGGTTTGGTCCGATCTCTCTTGGGAACATTTTGGTAGTGTTGGATTTTGCACAACACTGATAGAAATTGATGTGATTACGGGCAACCTTCTAAGTCGCTAGAAAATTGCACGACGACGAGGTCTTTCTTCCCGGAAGTCGCTGGAATGATGCACAACGATAGGTTTCTCACTAAAGCTCTGATACCATGTGAGAATGCACGGGAGAAAGTATTATTGATACTATTCTCATATGTTAAACATGATACAATGAGCCCTATATATACATAACATGTCTTAGTCCTAATACATATGAGATTAGGGTTATTTACTCCTATTTACATAACTATTCTAACATTAAGCATAACAAGATTTTAAATAGCCAATTAGGAACAAAAAATTCACATAATTTAAAATTCAAAAAACCTAAAATATCTTAACTAACTTAAACAATCTAATAAAAATTTATAATTGAAATTCATCCTAAAACTAAGCAACTTATTCTGCTAAAAACGTTACTGCAGTAACTAAAAGCAACAAAATTTCAACACTTTTACTATATGTCGTTTCTTTCGCTTCGACTATTATATCACCTTTATTCGCTATGGTTACTAGTTTTTTTTGAACACAACACACGAATATATTATATTACTTAAAGCAAAAAACTACATAGACATAGTAGATGTTTTTAGGGCATTACTATTGCCCATAGTTGCCAAATAGTTACAAACACTAGTAGAAATATTCTTAAAACTATTACAAACACCATGCTTGTTCTTGATCACTTCTTGTTCAACAAAATAGGGTGGACATGCATGGTAAAAACACTTTGTAGAGGGTGGGCTCTTGATAGCTTCCATGGCCAGCATATGTGCCACCTCATTTCCTTCCCTGAAATTATGCTTCAGGTGTGGGAACTTCAATTGGTGCATTAACCATCTGCGTTCAGAAACAATGTTAGAGAAGTTATAGCTATCCTCATATATAAGCTTGATGACATCCGTATAGTCAGTTTCAATTTCCAGATTTAGGAAGTTCATTTCTTTAGCAATTTTTAATCCTTCTAGCAATGCCATCAACTATGCATGTGTAGGAGAAATTGCTTGGCTTGCTTTGTGGAATCCCACAATCCAGTCTCCATTGCTATTTCAGAATGCACCACCAAGCCCAGCTACATTATTGTTGCTGAGGGTTGAATTTTCTTTTAATGGTCCCGGAGTTTGTTTGTGTTTGGCTGTTTGCAGCTGATATGGAGAGTGTTGCACATGCATTGACTTAAATTTATAGCATGTATAATTGGATTTTGCTTTGTCAGTTACAGTTGAAATAGCATGGCAATAGTTCAACCACTGAAGCAGTCTCATTAAGTTTTCAGTTCTATTGTAATTGGAACCAGATTCGGGTAGGTATCATGACTTCTGAGACCTAAGTTGCTCAGACAGGGGTATGGGTGTCCGACACGGGTGCAGATTTGAAGGTCAGATCCTTTGAGATGTAAATTCTACGATTCGGAGGATACGGATCCTAGTACTGATACATGTGCGGGGATCCTGTTAAAAATAATTCAAAAAGCAATATATAAAAATATCTCTAAATTATGAGAAATTTTGTGGTATACTTACGTATAGCTTGTAAAGTGTGGATCTCTTTTTTATTCTTGTAATTAATAAGATATGGAAGAATCAAATTGGTATGTTATTCCATGTAGTGATACATATATATAATGTACATCAGGTGCTAACTAAGGAAAGAAATAAAAGAGATTCCTACAAATCTGCTATCTATATGTGGGTTATGTACACTACTAAGAAACAGTCTATTCTCATTGTGTAAAGTGTCTAGGTTCATTCTGTAACACTCCCCCTCAAGCTGGAGCATATATATTGATCATCCCAAGCTTGTTACAAAGGTAATCAACTCGAGTGCCATTCAATGCTTTAGTGAACAAATCAGCTAGCTGCTCTCCTTTCTTCAAGTAGCCAGTAGAAATGAAGTTATCCTGAATCTTCTCACGAATAAAATGACAGTCAACTTCAATATGTTTGGTTCTTTCATGATACACTGGATTTGAGGCAATATGGAGTGCAACTTAATTATCACACCAGAGTTTTGATGGAGTAGGATACTTCAACCCAATTTCAGTTAAAAGGTGATGTATCCACATTATCTCACATGTTGATTGTGCCATAGCTCCATACTCGGATTCTGCACTGGACCTAGATACAACATTTTGTTTCTTACTTCTCCATGATACCAAGTTTCCACCAACAAATACACAGTAACCAGTAGTAGATCTTCTATCAATCTTGGATCCAGCCCAATTTGCATCGGCAAAACAATCAATGCGAGAATGACCGTGATTGCTGTATAATATGCCAAGTCCAAGAGCTCCTTTTAAGTAACATAGGATCTGCTCCAAAGCCTCCCAATGTTTAACTGTGGGCGCGGACATGAACTGACTAACCATACTCACTGCAAAAGCAATATCTGGACGAGTCACAGTAAGATAGTTTAATCTCCCAACTAACCTCCTGTATCTATCTGGATCATTAAATGGATCGCCATCATCTTTCATAAGATGCAAATTAGGAACCATTGGAGTACTGCAAGGCTTGGCAGCCAGCTTACCAATTTTTGCTAGTAAGTCAAGAATATACTTTCTCTGAGATAGAAAAATTCCCTTCTTGCTTCTAGTTATTTCTACTCCCAAGAAGTATTTCAGTTGTCCCAAGTCTTTTGTATGAAACTTAGTATGTGAGAAAGACTTGAGAGAAGAGATTCCTACATAATCACTCCCTGTGATTACAATGCCATCCACATATACAACAAGGAGAATAGATTCAGCTGTTGATTGCTTGTAGAAGACAGAATGATCACATTTGCTCTTTTTCAGTCCAAATTCTTGAACTGCTTCACTAAATTTACCAAACCAAGCCCGGGGACTCTGCTTCAAGCCATATAAAGATTTCTTCAAATGGCAGACCTTGCCATACTCCCCCTGAGTAACAAAACCAGGTGGTTGCTCCATATATACCTCTTCATGGAGATCATCATGAAGAAAAACATTCTTAATATCCAATTTATGCAAAGGCCAATTCCCAGAAGCAGCTGGAGAAATGAACAAGCGGACAGAAGTAAGTTTGGCAACCGGAGAGAAGGTGTCTGAATAATCCACCCCATAAGTCTGAGCATACCCCTTAGCCACAAGTCTGTCCTTAAGTCTCGCCACAGAGCCATCAGGATTAACTTTAACCGTGAAGACCCACTTGCATCCCACTGCTTTCTTTCCACGGGGTAAATCCACTAAATCCCAAGTGTGGTTTTTCTCTAAGGCATGTATTTCTTTAAGCATTGCTTCAGACCATCCAGGATGATTCAAAGCTTCCTTCACCGTTTTGGGTATAGAAACAGAGTCTAGAGACATAATCAAAGATCTAGATGCAGGAGACAAGTGGTCGTAGGAAACAAAATTAGCAATAGAATATGTGGATTTGCAAGTACGTATACCTTTGCGAAGAGCAATTGGAAGGTCAAGGTCTTCTTGAGGGTCGGGCGGAGGCAAATCTGATGATGAAGGAACTGATGACGAAGGAATTGGTGCGGAACATGTATCATTCGTCTGTTGCCTCCGCGAGTAAACTTGAGCAATTGGCGGTCTTGCTAACACAGTTGGAGCAGGTGCTGAAGGCAGAATAATGGATTGGTGCTCGATAGAACTAGGAGATGGAGGAACATCATCTCGTTGTTCTGTCAAAGTACGAGTAGCCTGATATACTAGCCACTCTTCTTCCTCCCCCTGACTTGTAGAAATGGGAGGTGCATAGATGAATGGTGTAGTATCTGAAAGTACCACATCAATTGATACCAAATATTTGCCAAGTTCAGTAGAATAACACCGATACCCCTTCTGAAGGCGAGAATAGCCAAGGAAAACACACTTTAGTACCTTGGGATCCATCTTGGTAACAGATAGTCGAACATTTCGAACATAACATGTGCTTCCAAATACCTTAGATTCCACCGGAAATAATGCCTTGTTTGGAAAAAGGATACTGTGAGGCACATTACCACCAAGCACAGTAGACGACATGCGATTAATCAGAAAACAAGCCATAGAGACCGCATCAGCCCAGAACTGTTTAGGAACCTTCATTTGGAACAAAAGTGCCCGAGTTGTCTCAAGTAGATGCCTATTCTTCGTCTCAGCAACTCCATTTTGAGGGGGTGTATCAACACATGAAGACTGATGTAGTATACCATGTTGTCTCATGTACGACTGAAATAACTCTGACATGTATTCTTTAGCATTATCACTCCTTAGAATACGCATCAAAGCGTTAAATTGAGTTTTGACTTCAGCACAGAAGGCAGAAAAACACTTCAGAGCGGTTCTTCATAAAGTAAATCCAAGTCATTCGAGAAAAATTATCTACAAAGATGACAAAATACTTATACCCAGTTTTGGAAACAACGGGACATGGTCCCCAAATATCAGAATGAACTAACTCAAAAGCTGACTCAACTCGTTTATTAACCCTTGGACTTAACGAGATGCGATAGTGTTTTGCAAATTGACATGACTCACAATCCAATGAAGAAATATTCTGAAACTGAGGACAAAGCTTCTTCAACAAAGGTAGAAAGGGGTGTCCCAATCGACAATGTGCTTCAAAGGGAGACACAACACTAGAGCATGCAATAGACCGTGACTCCCATTCATCAAGGATGTAGAGATCACCAGATAAATATTCTTTACCAATAACCTGTTTTGTTGTAAGATCTGGAAACAAACAATGATCTGGAAAGAATGCAACAGAACAATTAAGGTCTTTAGTGATTTTACTAACAGAAATCAAGTTAAAGGCCAAGTTTGGTAGACTTAATACAGATGACAGGGTAATAGAGGAAGTTGGTTTAACAGTCCCAGATCCAACACTGTTACAAGTTGATCCATCAGCTACAGTAATTGGAGAGGGTGCTTTATGTGAGCGAAAGCTAGAAAAAATATTTGGATTACCTGTCATGTGATTTGTGGCACCTGGATCGATCACCCATTTATTGGAAGAGGTGATAAGACATGTTTTATCTGACCCAACAAAGGCAGTAACTGAAGAAGATTCCTTAACTGATTTATGATTTTGAAGGAACTTTAGAAACTCATCCGAAACCAAGATTGCTGGACTAGGAGTTGTTGCATTATTATTCTTTACCATCATGTTTTCCTTTGAATAACAAACCGATTAAATTAACAGAGGTCCCCAAAGCTAAAAGATACTAAAACAGATCTCTGGTAAACACGAAGTCAACAATCTATTTAACAGAACTCCACTCCAATAATCCACTCAACCAAATCAGAGAACCAAACAAATTTGTCCCCAAAATCAAATATAATCAGAGACCAACAAAGTTTTTGATAAGGGAAGACCCAACAGATAATATCAAGTCTCAAATTGTAATAAAGCGTCTTACAAGGAAGACCCAACAAATACCAATTCACAAAACAAGCAATCAGATGCAAAAATATTGTTCCACGACTACTTCAGTATCCAAAAACAAACCAAACAGTTGAAGAACTCAAACCTGACCTAAATTGATGTAATACAACCTTGTCCGAGTCTGTTCTTCACGAAAATAAGCTTCTGTTATCAGAGGATAACCATCAATCGATCGAAAATAATCAAGCTGATCTCGGAGAACAAAGCTGGACAGAGAATGGACCACACACGCACCTCACGTTCTACCTGAAAGTTTTGGTCAACTCCGGCGAAGCCATAAATGTGGCTCCGATACCATGTAATTAACAAGATATGGAAGAATCAAATTGGTATGTTATTCCATGTAGTGATACATATATATACATGTACATCAGGTACTAACTAAGGAAAGAAATTAAAGAGATTCCTACAAATCTGCTATCTATATATGGGTTATGTACACTACTAAGAAACAGTCTATGTTCATTGTGTAAAATGTCTAGGTTCATTCTATAACAATTTTCATGGTCGTAGATAAGTAAATGATTGATTTCCTAGCTAAGGTATGCTATTTTCTTCAAATTTACCCTACTTTTGGTTCTGTTTCCGAGAATCAAATTGTATCTCGTCTCAAATTTTTCCATTCGTCGTGGTCAAAGTACCCAAAATTGTTTGACCAGATCCGGTACGGATCCCCACACCCACACCCATACTAGTGTCGTGTCGACACGAGTGCGGCACCTAAGCTGCCGTGTCGGAGCAACTTAGTCTGAGACTATGTCCTTTTCAATTTTCTTATTATTAATGGTTTTGATAATTTCTATGTATGAAATTCATGTAGAACCTAAGCTTGCGGAAGGAAATTTCTCACTTTATTATTGTTGTACTCTTTCGTTGTAGCATGATCAAATCAAACAGTCTCAAGCTAAAGTGGTTAAAACAATTGAGAAGAGATCCCTTTTACCACGAATGGTGTATCTGTCTATTCAATGTGCTTCATCATCTTTCAAGGAAAGTGTTGAAGCAAATGGTGTGGTCTTTGACCCTAAACTATCATCAGAGCTGAGATTGTTACTCGACCGGTATGCCAATATCTTGGGATTCTCCTTCCAGGATGCTGTAGGGCTGGCTTTTGATATTTCGAGTGGCCTTAAGGACTCAGAGGTAAATTCTTCTCTCTTCGTACTGTGGATGCTTCCAAAGCTATACTTTTTTAGCATGTGGAGTACTTTTCATTTATTGTTTCTTGCTTTAATTTTTATATTTACATGCATGCTTATCGAGCAATTATGGTGAATTTTGTTATTTTGCATCTCTCCCACATTCGTTGTAATGGCTGGGATAATTTTTAAGGAGACGTGGAATTCTTAACTGTACAGGTTAAACAATAGAATTCGGGCATGTCACTTAAGAAATGGACAAATTGCATTTCTGCATTCGTCAAATTAAATTTTCAGAAGTTACAACTAGCGAGATTTCAAAGCGTCTCTTGGGCATTGAATAACCTTTGTTATTTATTTTGGTGATACTTTTACTTTTAGGAACAATATTTTCATTTTATGACGAACAAAAGCTAGAATTTTAGTCCTATATCATATGCATCTTTAACATTTTATTTTTCAGGTATTTTCATGGTAGATGTTAGAAAGATAATTTGCATTATGCTTGATTGAGGATTGGAGTAAACCAGAAATTTAGTTGTTTTGAAGTATGTCTTCGGTGTATGCTCTTGGGAGCATCAAGGCAGAGAAACTGAATTAGACTCTAATACTTGAGAATTCAAACTTAAATTCTGAGGATAAATCTCACTTAAAGCTGGTATTATGTTGCAGTTTTATATGGACCATGAAAAACACCTAGATGTAGATCATATTCAACCTGATTTTTAGCTATGCTTAGCGCTGCATGTGGGTAATTAGTTTACTCAAGGTGATCAAATTTGTGAGAGAGAAGCGTCCTGTTACACGAAGCAAAGTTTGTGGATTTAGGTTGCTGAACCCTTTGTAATTCAAAGTTGCAATGAATGCATGAGAATTTGCATATTGTTCCAGATGTACAGTTGAAGTATAAGAGAAAAGAACTAAATATATCAATTCTAAGAGAATCATTATGTAGTGCTTGAAGGATTTAACAATTAACTCTTCAATGCAGCTCAAAACTATCTTGCACTTACAAGTATATTTCTGTCTGGTGTCAACTGTCAAGCTGTCAGTTTTGTGATGAACTAAGTTTTTATAGATTTTTGCTACTTCAATACAGGCATGGAGCTGCAATCTGATTGATTGGATGAACTTTCTTGTGTTTTTAAATGCTTGGAATCTTTATTCTCATGAAGTAGATGGAGATTCAAATAGGCATGGTACATGGCTAATTGTGAATTCAATATTGAAGAAATATATCCTGGATAAAGTCGGATCAATGGGACCACTGGAATCCTCACCTGGATGTGATCTTCCTAATCTGGTGCTTTTAGTGACAGAACCTATAGCTTGGCATATACTGGTGATTCAGTCTTGTGCCAGATCGTTAGTGCCTTCAGGAAAGAGAAAAAAGAAAGGAGGACCTGCAGAGAACTTTAACGTTCAGCTGTCTCAAGAATTACAAGAGTCGATTCTGTCTGTATGCGAGACTATAGAGCTGGTCAGGCAATGGCTTAACCAACAAATTATCAAGTCAGACGATTACAAATCGGAAAGCATACTTTCATCACTCCTAGAAGATAAAGAGGAGGGACCCGGGAAGGTCTACCGAGTTCTTGAATCTTTAACTTCCTCGACAAGTGATGTGGATTTTGGGGATCGGATCACTCGAGCATTGCAGTCCTGGAGTGCAACCGTTATTTCTAGAAAAATCATTTGTAGTCAGCGCACTGCATTATCTAATTTCCTGAAAATTTGTGATTCAAAAATCAAATCATTACAGGCGTTGAAAGCTCATTTATAGGTGGAGAAATAGTGAATTCTCTGTGTGTTGTGAGGACTGATTGTTCCGAGTGATATTTTTGCTTCTCTAGGCACTGTTTTTTCACCAAATTTTCTTCAGTTTTAATAGTGGTCAGATGTAACAGGGACAAGCACCAGGCTGGTATCTCACTCAATGTTGCATAAAGTTGTATTCCGTTCAAAATTTTCCTTCCAGGTTTCGGTTCTGCTCAACTATATAGAATAAACATGAAATTCATTTTCCGAGTTTCTCATTCGTTTTGCCGGCTTGTAATATTTGAAATAGAGATTTTTTTGTATATTGCTGTTACCTATTGATTCTGGTCTCTTAGTTCTTGGAAAAAGGAAAAAAAAAGGGATAATATCATAGGACCTCCCTCACGATTCACTCCACCATACTGCCCTCTCGTGTTTTATGATATTACGCCTATTTTCCTTATTTTAAATTTTTTGTGACAATTCTGTTTACATGTAATTTGACTAATTACCCTTTGTAATTGTATACGGGTAAAATCGGAGATAATGAGCATCCTGATTTTTTGGCGAACGAAGAAAGGACTTAACTGTGTGTAGTCGAGATCGAAGTCGGGAGCTGCCCGTATCAAAGCTTGAACAAAACACCTGCCCTCGGAGCCAAGAGATCATGTCGACAGACATGATTCGAATAATGAGACCTCGGAAGGCATTGCCAAACGACTGCACGTGATTAACAAAGGGCTGTGATATCCGTGCCCAACCGGATACTACGGTGTGAATCTCGGCCGTATCAGTGGTAGATCAGTGATTAGCGAGCAGAAGGATTTTTACCTTTTTTAAAATTGTACGTAGGATAAAACTCTCCTACTATATAAAGGGGAAGCTGATTATTCATCACACATTGTAACATGCCTACTAAGGCAATATACTTCTGTTCTTAAAAGTTATTCAAAGTTCTTGTTTTTTATAAGTTCTTTCATTAGTGCAAGTTCGGAACCGAAGGCAGATTCCTTGTTAAGCCACTAACCGAGCTCGGACTTACTCTTATCATTAGTTTGACCATTCATTACGTCTTTTATTTGCTTAATGTAACGTCATTGATCACTTGTATTGAATTAATTCACATATCTTTAAAACCGCGTATAAATTCAATTATTATTCGTTTTTAAAGGTAAACAGTAATATATCCTTTTATTTAATTGTTTTTGAAATGTGTTTTTCTTAAATTAATACTGTAGAACAAAATATGTAAATACCAATATTGCAAGATTCTCAAATCTCAACAGAGAAGGAAATGAAGATGAAAAAAATTGATTGACATTGCGTTGATGTCACGATCCCCAAACTGATCCGGTTGTGATGACGCCTATCGTGAAACTAGGCCAGCCGATACATTCCCAATTAAACCCATATTTCATTTAAAACTTAAAAAAAACCATTTTTCAACTGAAATCCGATAAAGATATAAAGTCAAAATCAAACAAAGCAGAAAAATACAAGCCCGACCTCGGGTGCCACTAAGTCATGAACCATGCTACAATAGTTTCGAAACAAGACCAAATAGTCTGAAAATAACAATGTATTAATAGGAAGATAGAGAAGGAGAAAAGCGGAACTACGAATCGCTAGGCAGCTACCTCGCTATCTCCGTGAAGTCCGCAACCGGAATAGTCAACAGCCGTTACCGTGCCCTGAGATACCTGAATCTGCACACAAGGTGCAGGGGGTAACGTGAGTACACCAACTCAGTAAGTAACAAGTCCAAACTATGGACAGACAGGTAGTGACGAACCAAACCTCAACAGGTAATACAATTAAACTGTACAGAAAAGTAAGCATGCTTGTAGTTCAAGTATTAGACTTAACAGGAAATAAATACAATCTGAACAGTATGGAGTATAAGCTCAGCAAAATCTCTATGTACCAATGCAGAGAAAGCATGAAAGATGTACCGCACTCACAAGTGCTCAACCACTCGGTACTGTATATGGCCGTCCGACCCAAGGAAGATCTATCCCGGAATATATACACATCACTGACTGCAGTCATCCACTACCGAGGAAGGCCATTCCAGCCCTAAGGAGAAGATCCATCTCCAGGTATAAATACTTCGGACAAGATCCATGTCTAGGGAAGATCCATCCCTCAATAACATCAACTGCGCTCCCTGGGGGTGTAAAGACTGCGGAGGGGCTCATTTCAGCCCAAGTACTACAACAAGCCAACAAAGGCATAATCAATATCTCGCTGCGGCGTGCAGCCCGATCCCATACTGTCACTCAATATTAGGCTCTCGGTCTCACTCACTCATCACTCTCCGGTCTCACATACACAGGCTCAAAACGTCATGATACTAGCCCAAAACAATGATATGATGTGCCAAATAACAATAATCGAGACTGGGGCATGATATAATATGCACAAACAGGATTGAGTACAGAGTATGAATGAAGCTAATGATATGACAGCAAGAAACGACCTTTCGGGTCTCAACAGTATCGGCGTGAAGCCTTAACATGATAATTAGCATTATTTGCAGCTTATTAACATAATCACATAATCATTACACAAGTATCAGCAAGAAGAGTCACTAAGCTGTGCCATGGAATGATCCAGGCCGCAATTCTCACGGTGCACGCCTACTCGCCCGTCACTTGGCATTTGCGTCACCTCAATAGTAATCATAGAACACATAATTTAGTGTTTCGAACCTTCAGAACCAAGTTTAGAAGCGTTACTTACCTCAACCAAGCCAAAGCTCTAACCTGCGATGCCCTTGCCTCTCGATCCGGCATCCAAATGCTCCGGATCTAACCAAAATTATTGTCATCAATACACGCTAAAGGAATGAAACCCACACGAAAATTATCAAATTAGACCCAAAATCTCGAATTTGCTCAAATCCGGCCCCCGGGCCCACGACTCAGAATCCAACAAAAGTCGCAAAACTAGAAGCTTCTTTCACTCTCGAGTCCATACATACCAAAATCATCAAAATCGGACCTCAAATGATCCCTCAAATTCCCACTTTAAACTCTCCAATTTCAAGCCCTAATCTCCCAAATTTCTCCGCTAATTTCCACTAATATCATTATTAAACAATGAAAAAATGGTCATAAATACAAGTAATAAAGCTTAAGTAGCTTACCCAACTAATAACCCTTGATCCCTTTTGAGAAATCACTGCCCAAGCTCAACTATCATCTTAAAAAATGGAGAAACTTTGCAAAATTCGCAAAGAAGACCTTTTTATACCTTCTGCCTAGTGTTTTCCGCATCTGCGGTCTCAGAGTTGTTTCTGCGACGTCGTACCTGCGGAAAAACCATCGCAGGTGCGGTTTTCACTTAACCCTGGAAATCCCGCTTCTGCGGTCAGCTTCTCACTCCTGCGGTCCTTGTGCGCACCTGCGGTTTTCCTCAGCTCCCTAATTCTCCGTTTATGCGATCCAATCTCGCTTTTGCGGTCCCCACTCCGCAGGTGCGGAAATGACAGAAGCAACAAAGTTCAGCTGCTCAAACCAAATCACAATCCTTCCGTTAACCACCGAATTCATCCCGAGGCCTTCGGGACCTCCAACAAAAATACCAACAAGTCATATACCACTATTCAAACTTATTCCATCCTTCGGAACACTCAAACCAACATCGAAATACCAAATTGACCTCGGATTCAAGCCTAAGAACTTAGAAACTTTCAAATTCCGCATACGATGCCAAAACCTATCAAACCTCATCCGAATGACCTGAAATTTTGCACACACGTCACAAATGACACATCGGACCTACTCCAATTTTTGGAATTCCATTTCGACCCCGATATCAAGATTTTCACTGCCGACCAGAAAATGTCAAATTTTCAATTTCGCCAATTCTAGCTTAAATCTACCACGAACCTCCAAAATACATTTCGATCACGCTCTTAAGTCCCAAATCACCTAACGAAGCTATCCGAATCATAAAAATTCAATTCCGAGATCATTTACCCACAAGTCAACTTCCGGTTGACTTTACCAATTAAATCACCAACTTAAGAGACTAAGTGTCTCATTCCACTCTAAAACCACTCCGAACACAACACAACCAACACGATATGATCAAATACAACTGAACAACACACATGGAAATAAAAATGGGGAGAACAGGACTGCAACTCATGAAACGACCGACCCAACAGTTGATGTGGGGCAATATAAATGTCTCCAAACCTCCTTTCCATTTTCACTATCCCTTATTTCTCCTTATTCCATCTGCAAGCACATTGTCATTCTCCAATTGGACCGTCACTTGATTACGTTTCAATCCTGTCATATTCCCAAGAACTGGAATAAGTCTCAGATGGATGCTGAGGTTTATGCTATGTTGTCCTGTCTTTGAAGTTAAAAAACATGTAGTGAAGGGCAATTATATTTTTATTCTAGGAATTTAACAAAAAGATGTTTAAATAACTAATTAAACAAAAGGGTATACTAAAAAGGGTCAGTTAGAATTTTTTTAATATTAATTTTAAATAAATAAAAGAATTGTTGCAAAAAAAATTAAAATAAGGGAGGTAGACATAATATCATGAACTACAAGAAAAATTAGTGTAATGGAGCAAGATATGAGGGGAGGTTTCTAAATTTCTTTTAAAAAAAAAATATAAAATTGGGTGGATGTGGATTCATGTCATTGTACAAAAATAGAATAGAAGTGTGGGCAACTGAGGACACTTGTACTATGATAGATGTAATTCCCTTAAATAGTTGTTAGTCGTTAGGCTGCCTAACGCTTGCAATGACTTCAGTAAAAGTGGCAAAGTTATTTTAAGCTGTGTCATATTACTAAGATTTTGGTCGAATTAATTAGAAGTGCCTTGATTGAAGCTTGTTATAACTACTTTCTCTGTGCTTATTGCGCGTGGATGTGAACAGGTTAGTTTTGGTTAGGAATGTTCCATTGATTTGACTTTTCAATGTTAGTGAAATCAACAACTACTTGACAAATGTTCGTTTTTTCTTAATTATTTGTGTTCCATTAGGTCTTAAGCAGTGTTGACTTATGAGTACGAATGTGAACAGAGTTGTTTGGGTTTAGGAAAAAGGGAATCGTCTATTGAGTTAGACGTTTCAATTTTTTTAACACACTTTGAAATGAAAATTTCAATTACTTGACTTCATTATTTTTCTTCTCATTCTTATTAACCATCTACAAAAGAAAATTAGAGTCGTTCCTTGGAGAATTTTTTTTATTGATTCTAGAACACACACGTTTCCTATGTATTTAATAAAAACGTTTAAAGATGAAATAGAAAACCGAATACAGGAGAAATCTTTTCAAATTGTTGCGACCAAACACCTACTCAA